TCTATCTATCTATCTATCTATCTATCTATCTATCTATCTATCTATCTATCTATCTATCTATCTATCTATCTATCTATCTATCTATCTATCTATCTATCTATCTATCTATCTATCTATCTATCGTCCCTCTGCTTCCTTTTGTTTTTTGGATCTGGAGAGTGGGGCACTTCTACCCCACTCCTCCAGTTCTGCTTGCCTGGTGGTTTGAGTTCCCCAGAGGCTCCGGTGCAAACTCAGCAAACCGGATGAAAAATGGGGCTGTGCTTTTGGGAGGAGGGACGGCCATAAAGCACACGCCGTCCTCTGGGTCTGCGTGTGACACGCAGCATCCCGTTAGAGGAAGACTAACTAGAGCAGCAGTTCTTAACCCGTTTGAGGGGCCGAACCCTCCAGATGCACATCCACCGAACTTCTTCAGTGATAAATGAAATACGATTTTTTTTACAAATTCAAGACATAGCTTTGTGTTTTTTTACTGGTGCACAAAACTCAGCTCAGAGAACAAACACGGTGATCTCACAACAAATTTACTAATTTATTTACTTTAATTACTTTATTCTGGCCCCAAAAAATATTACAAGCCAATAAAAGAATTTCAGCCGCAAAAAATACTTTTATACTATTTTAAAAATTAATAATATATTTACATTTTGTAATAACGTAATTTTTTTTATTTCAATAGTAATTTTTTTTGTCGTTTTGAGTCCACCAAATACTTTTTGGGGTCAGAATAAGAAGTGTTCCTTCAGTTTTGCCGGTGTGAGACCTGGACCTAAACCTGAACCTGGACCTGGACCTGGACCTGGACCTGAACCTGAACCTGGACCTGGACCTGGACCTGGACCTAAACCTGAACTTGGACCTGGACCTGGACCGTGGGGATCGGGGGCCCCGGGGACTGACCTCGCTGCCCTGCAGGGTCCTGGTGGGGTTGGCGGAGGGGATGGCGGCGCTCAGCTCGGCCTCCGGTTTGCACAGCAGGGCGATCATGTCTCCCTGGGAGGTGAAGCGGTCCCGAACCACCTGGTCCGCCTGCACCGCCTTGTCCAGGATGTTGCGGAAGTTGGCCCCCTCTGGGAAGAGAAGAAGGGGTCTTTAGGAGGCCGGGGGGGGCCGGGCATGTACAGTGACGAAGTAGAGCTACTTAAGTACTGTAATTAAGTACCAAAATGCAGTATCTGTACTTTATTGGAGTATATTTTATTATATATTATATATATTTTATTATATCATATTTTTATATATAATTTAATATATATATAATATTTTATTATATATTATATATATATATCTTATATATTTTATTATATATTATATTTATTATTGGAGTATATTTTTTCCTACTTTTACTTTTACTCCACTACATATTTTTGATTAATCTAATACTTTTACTCCGATCATTTTTTCACGGGCTGAATCGTTACTCGTTACTGATATGTAAACATAATGAATCATCCCCAAGTCATAGAGTCAGAGCCAGAGCTGTAATTAACTCTGTACGGTTTGGGAAGCTGGCTCCTCAATGGAAAATTTGAGAGATCAAGCATAGCCTATAAAGACATGCCTCCCGAAAGATTTGGCCTTCAAGAATTCCCCATCTAATCTGAAGAAGCATATCACACGTTTGAAATAATATAAAGAATTTCTATCAAACTTTTGACTGCCTTTTTTTAAATATACACAGTACTTTCGATACTTGAGTAGCAATTTTTTAACTCTACTTGCAAAAATTGAGTACTTCCAAAGTATGGTGTTGAAAGAACACTTTTACTCAAGTAAATTTTTTATATAGTACTTGTACTTCTACTCCGGTAGTTTATCCGTCTCTGTTGGGCCCACCTGCGCGGAGGGGTTTGTACAGGTCTCCTGACGGCGTTCTGTTCCAGCGCTGGTTGAACTTGGATCTCAGCTCGTTGTCCGTCGTCTCTTCGTCATCCAGCATCTTTAGAGACTGTACACAAAAACAGACAAAACAAACTGAGAAACGCTGAAAACCTCTCTGCTTTGTGACCGTGTTCCCTGTGGCATCCAGCCGACCCTTCTGGGGGAAACGAGAGGAACTTTGGTTTGACTCTCCTCTGGCTGTTTTCATTTTTAACTCTATAATGCCAAATGTATCATATTTGATACATACTGTTTCTGAAATGTTTTGCGTCTGACACCTTTTGCATAATTTAATGGTAAAAACTTTGTTCAAAATCCTAATTTACACAATTAGATAAACTTGATAACAGGGGGCAGAAGACTACACAAAAAATAATCTTGACTTATCGCATAGTAATAAATTATTAATATCAAAAATGTATTTCTGTTTTTTCTTTTTACATATTTTGTTAAAAGGCTAAATAAGGAATTCAAACAAAAAAAAAGTAATTTTCTGTTTTGCTTTATTCTTGGATCAGGCTTTAAACGGCTAAACATCTTGACGGCAAATGCATAAACAAACAAAAAAATCTGGTTGGCTGGATCTTTCAGGCCCTGAGCTCTTGGCCCAAAGATCAGAGGATTTAATTTCTCTGATGAACGCGATTTGGGGATTCTGCCATCAGAAATGATAATGAGTTTGTGGTATTAATGCGCTCTTTCTGTGGCCCTGGTGGAACGCCAACACTCACAGGAGCCCCAGTCAGCTATTAACTCATTGGCTGTTTATGTTTTTCAACGAGAGTGGCTGGGGGATGATCTGCTAAAGCTTGTCCGTAAATATCAGGCTTCTAGACAGAGTATGTAGTAACAAATTGACCCTCTAGGGGGCAGTGCCACTTTTGATGGGAGATGAGCATAGACTGTAGGCAAATAAGAAAAAAAGGTAATGGTTCGCTTTGAGAGAACATGTCGCCGGTGAGACGCAAGTCCAAGAAGAACGGAATAAGGTAGAAACAATTTTTTTTTCCTGATGAAAGAAGGGAGTCTACTCTTTCTTTTGGTGTGTTCGGTGTTTACATAGTCATAGCACAAATTATTCTGTGGCTCTTGAAAAATCAGTCAAAATGCTCAAAAAACTCTGGCAGTCAATGAGTTCAACTCAGACCCAGACGCTGCTTTACACAGGAGCTAAAGTCCTATCAGTAAAGCCATTATAAAACTTTTGTGTTCTAAGCAAACGCAGCACAGAGGCCGTAAAGTGGAGGCCCTTATGCGGCCGTCTGCCACCGACCTCGTCCAGGATCTCCCTGTTGCGGGTCAGCAGCTCCGGCAGGTCTCTGATCAGCTGCTCGATGCTCTGCAGGCCTCCGCTCTCCACGATGGACCGGGCCTTCTCAGCGATGGACTGTGGGATCGAGTCCCCGGACAGATCCTCCAGAGCAGCAGGCAGGTTCAGAGAAGCCAAAACCCTGAGGGAGCCACACAGCATCCGTCCATTATTATACATTAACACAGCAGAACCTCCACAGGAATTTAACTGGTTCCAGGACCGACTTCGTACGTTAAAATATTCCTATGTTGGTTCAAATATTCCCATCAGAATACACTGTAAAACCTACAATAACTGCTTAATAAACACTAAAGATAATTACACATAGCAATAAAACAAATGCATTATATAAGAGAGATGGAAAAATAAATAAATTATAGAAAAATAATCAATAAAAAGGACTTTTTTTATTGGCACTTATTGACAAATGGAGGTAGAGGCGGAGACTGAGATACAGGACGAACTCTAACTTACTCTGAACTTGAACTTAGCTTATTTGTTTTTATTTAATTTTTAAAGTTTATATGAATTTTCGATGACTTTGTTGAGTCGAATATTTGATAGATGTTGGAAAACTCGTATGTTTGCTTAATTCTTAAGCAGATGTTCTGCTGTATCTGGTCGAATCTGCTGAAGTGGAACAATTCAACACACTTTCTTCAGACAGACGTAGAAAGAGACGATTACATCTCTAATATCTCCAGCCCTCTGAGCCGGGGGCTGCAGACTGTGGAGCTCTGAGTCTGAGTCTCACCGCGAAAACACGAAGGCTGCATCAACATTTAACGGCCCCGGATGCAGCAGCTTATCATCAATATTTAACGGGCTCCTACCCGTTGCAGAGGTTGGTGGCCTCCCTCATGGATCCCACCAGCCGGTTCACCGTCTCAGCCTTCCTCTGGTTGTACACGCTCATGGACTGCTGCACCGCCATGGGAACCATCTTCTCAAACAGATCTGAGGCACACAGACAAAACAAACCAAACAGAGAAAGAGACGGTGAGCACAAACAGAAATATAATAATATAACAGGGAATAATAATACTAATAATAACAGGGAGAGAAGAGGCCTTGGCCAGGAAAAGGCCCCCGATGGCTCCACCTCCAGACAAAAGGCTGAGAGCCCTCAGGCTGTAACGACACTTCAACGTTTTCAGAGCAAGATGCTTCAACATTTCCGGAATTAAAGCTGAAACGAGAGCTGTAAAAACGTGCAGCTCTAAACAAGAACAGCAGCAGGAATCTGACACTCTGCTCTCTCTGAACCATTGAGGAGAATCAGTGGTCTTTAACCATAATGTGACCGTTACTGAGAACTGTTGAGGGTCAAACTGAACCTTGAGCTTCAAGTAATAGCTTGTTCATCCTTGAGGTTTTTGCATTTCCCAGATCCTGAGAATTTGAGTGGAGAGAAATGACCTAAAGGTTTTTAAGACGATGGGATCTATGATGGTTTGATGGCTCTGAGTTCTGATTGGATGCAGCATGGAAGCTATAACAGTAAGTTTTTAATGGCCCAATCCCAATTCCCCACTTTGGCCCCATCCTGAAGACCAAAATGCTTCTTTTCCTTTAGGATTAAGGGGATGTGCTCGTCGGGGGCCACTTGGATTTGTAGATAACCAACAATAATCCTTCATTATAGAGAGAAAAGGGCCCCTTACCCTCCAAAAAGAGGCTCAAGCAGATACAGTAAACGGCCTTTCAGATGCTACATTTCTTTCTCGTTCTGTAACAAAACAACCGCCTTTGGGAAAATAGGTTGTTTATGGGGCCCCTGATCTGATGCTAAACGGTGCGGGTCTGTACCTGTGAACTTCTGGCTGAGCGGCGGCGTGATGGCGGCGGCCTTCACCAGGGCGGCCTTTCCGATCTGCTCCAGGTCTTTGACCTCGGGGACGCGGTCGTGGTAGATGAAGTCGTTGTCCTTCTTGGCGGCGGCGAGAGCCCGGCTGATCTTATCCGTCAGGTCCTTCACGCTCACGTACTCGTCGTAGCGAGACGCCACCGTCTTCACCAGCTCCGCCGCGTGCTGGGAGACACACACACACAAATACACACACACACACACACGGACACACACAGACACAGACACACGCGGACACACACACACACACACACACACACAGACACACACACGGACACACACACACACACAGACACACACACACAGACACAGACACACACACGGACACACACACACAGACACAGACACAGACACAGACACAAATAAATAAATAAATAAGCAAAAATAAAGTTATTAAAAAATTTTAAATTCTTTTTTTTTTATCCTAATTTATTTTTAATTACAGTAGTAAAATAGTAAAAAAATATTGTGGGGGGCTGAAACTCTTTTATTGGGCCCAAATATTTTTGGGGGGCCAGAAAAAAGTAATATGGTCATTTGTTGTGAGTCCATGCTCTGTGTTGGTTGGTTCTCTGAGCAGCTGATGTTCATCATCAAACGTGAACATAAAGCGTCGGGCCTTCGGTACTTTAACCGCCTTAAACTGCGTATCGGCCGGCAGGAGAAAATGCCGATCTAGACTCCAGAACCAGCTTCTTTTTTTTTTTTTAAAGTCCGATCTCACAGGACCATTAGCATTAGCATCTGCTAACCCACAGGTCTGTGTCCGAACGATTAAATTATCAGAGTTCAACATGACAGCTAAGTAAGTAGATCAATAGCTTTAAACTTTAACACATGCTCTGATAGGCCGGGATAAGTATCGGAAGTGCAAAAAGCCAGATGGGGACCTCCCTGATGGGTGATTGGGTCTGTACCTGCAGGCGGGCGATCTCCTCGCCGAATCTCTTCTTCTGCTTGGCTAAGATGCTCTGGTGCAGCTCGGCGTTCGCCTGCATGATGCAGTGCTTCGCCGCCAGCACTGGGAGCACTTCCTGAAAGTAAAAATACTGACCAGGGAGAGGCAACCACGGAGCAACAAGCATGCACGCAAACACGGGCACACACACACACACACGCACACACACACACGTGCACGCACACATGCACACGCACGACGGCAAGGCAAACCAAAAGGAGGCAGACGCACAGCAGCAGGGTCAAATCACAAAGGAAGCCAGTCACAAACGGGCGGGAGCGGCCAGGCGTGCGCCGACAACACACACACACACAGACACACACAGACACACACACACAGACACACAGACACACACGAGCGCAGACGAGTGCCACCAGGGATGCAGGAAGAAAGCAGGACAACGGGAGAGAAAAACAGAAGAGCCAATGAGTGGTTAACTTTTCAGCACAAGCTGCCACATCTCAAAGAAACATCGCACACCCGTGTGAGTCTGTGTGTGTGTGTCTGTGTGTGTGTGTGTGTGTGTGTCAGTGTGAGTGTGTGTGCGGTTCATCTGAGGCTGTCGAGCACAAAACAGACGCCGCTTTCCAGATATGGATCCACGTCCCTGCTCTCAAACTCAGGGAACAAAGGCTTTAAGGGGAGCTCTCTCTGAAAACACAACCCGGGTCTGGAAAGCTCCCAGATTTAAAGATGACTTTGTTTTAAAGCGTCATCACTTTCCTTTAAACACACGGATGGAAACACAAACAACCAACATTCAGTGGAGACATTTGGTTGGTAACTTCAGCACTGATAAAAAAAAAATCCTTTTGCATGCAGATTGTGGGTCTGAATATTAAGCATTCACAAAGATTTCTTACAAGCAGCTCCTTTTTTTCTTTTTTTAGTCGACTATGTGACGATTAAAATAACATTTGTTCATTTGCTTTTGTGTGTTCTGTAGCACCAGAGAGAGGGTAAGTCACCCAGCTGTCCACGCTTAGAGGCCAGGAAACCAGTCGGAAAGAAACCAGCTCAAACTCCAGTTTAGTAAGAGCCAACCAATCAGAGTGAGAGAAGGACGAGAAGGAACCAATGAGAGGTTTTCACAGTCCCACAACCCGTCCCGAATGTGCACAACGATACACGCATTCAGACACACAACGCAGTGGGGGCACAGGCCAGAGTCTGAGTGCCCCCCCCCCCCCCCCGCTCACCTTGGGCAGGTTGTCTTTGTACTGGCACTGCTTGAAGGCGTCGCCGTAGAAATCTGCCGCCTGATTGGCCAGTTTGGCGATGACGGCGTCTTTCATCCTGTCTGTGGAGCCCAAACATTAACAGTCAGACAGAACCAGCACAAACCC